GGGTGATGGAGGTGGTGGAGGAAGAAGGTGGAAGGTGGTTGGCTATGAGGGATGGGTGAAGGAGGTGGTGGAGGAAGAAGGTGGAAGGTGGTTGGCTATGGCGGTTGGGTGATGGAGGTGGTGGAGGAAGAAGGTGGAAGGTAGTTGGCTATGGTGCATGGGTGAAGAAGGTGGTGGAGGAAGAAGGTGGAAGGTGGTGGGCTATGGCGGATGGGTGATGGAGGTGGTGGAGGAAGAAGGTGGAAGGCAGTTGGCTATGGGGGATGGGTGAAGGAGGTGGTGGAGGAAGAAGGTGCAAGGTGGTTGGCTATGGTGGATGGGTGGAGGAGATGGTGGAGGAAGAAGGTGCAGGGTGACTGACTATGGTGGATGGGTGAAGGAGATGGTGGAGGAAGAAGGTGCACGATGGTTGGCTATGGTGGATGGGTGAAGGGTATGGTGGAGGAAGAGGGTGGAAGGTGGTTGGCTATGGTGGATGGGTGAAGGAGACGATGGAGGAAGAAGGTGGAAGGTGGAGAAGGTGTGAGGTGGCCCGGCTCCGTGTCGTCCCCTAACCCAAGTGTCCGGGTTCGTCGCCCGACATACTCCCTAATCCCCGGAGGCAAAACACAGTCTACAACAGTTCATCCTACAGCTAATATGCAGAAAACTCAGATTTGCAGAAGACACAGTTGACAGAAAAATCGCAGAATTTGCAGATTTGCAGATTACGGAACGTGCCGTTTTTGCTGTTTTTTTGCGAAGTATGAAAATTCGGAATACACAGGTCTGTGTTTCCTACCCCAAACGACCTCAGAATCATCCAAAACTTGGTGGGCCCTCTCACTGTATCACAAGGAAGGCCTTTGCAAAGTTTGGTTTGATTCTGACGCCGTTTGGATGAGGTTGCTTGTTTCGGGCGCCGTGCAGGGCTCAAGGCGAACAGTTCGGGGAAGTCCGTTTTCTGATTTTTCAGCAAAACGGACTTCGATGGCCTGCTGGGTCTTTATGCTTAGGATACGAGGTATGAGAAGTCTCAACCCTCATATCTTTGTTTCAGCGGGATTGACATTGTCGTACCACCGGGCCATATTGACCCGTTTTTCGTGTTTCCGGCGGTCTCGTGCCGTTGGTTGATCACCTACCCTTCTCCCAGCGGCAGCATTCTGTGCTGACCAGATCTCAGCAACAGTCACAGTCCTACAGCTACTCACCAGAAAAATCCACAGCAAAAGTTCAAACAGAAAAAAAAACAGCAGCCTACCAACTTCCCAATTACTGCGTTCGAAT